GAGTCAAGGCGGGTTTAGTTAGTGCGATTATCCAAATGACGGTGGGCCTCATCAATGTACTGCTGACAATCCATGATGACCACAGCTGAACCTTTATCTGCTGGCTTGATGATGATGTCGGTGCGAGAGCGCAAGGAGTTGAGAGCCAGGCGCTCCTCTCTGGGGAGATTATCATGAGTCCTGTGGGGGAAGTTGTCCGGGTTAGTGACTTGGGAATTTATAACTTGAACGTATGTCTCTATGGCTGGCACACGATTCTTGGGGGGTACCCATGAACTCTTGATTCGAAAAGGCTCTGGCTCACACGGTTCACTGTCCAGGAAAAACTCACGCAGACGGATTCTACGGTAGTATTCCGTGAGATCTTGGCTGAGCTGAACCTGGTTCACAGAACGGGGAGCGGGAAAAAATTGAGACCCTTGGAGAGAAGTTTGTGCTCTGCGTCAGATATTGATGAGGAAGAAAGATTAACTACAGTGTTGACAGGGGGTTCTGGTGGTGGCGTGGTAGATGGGGACCTAGGACGTCTGAAACGTCTGTGTCTGCGTTGTTGTTGCTTGGCAAGCAAGCCACCAATCTTCTTGTTTCTCCTGTTGAGTAGGACAGAGTCAAGGTTAGACAAACCCCTTTCAATCTCATCATGGAAATTCCTGTACGTGGAATCAGAACAACTGGATTTGAGTTGGGAGTCAAGGTGGGAAATGTTCTGATGGAGGTCCTCACGTGTAAATTGACACTGCTGAGAGAGAATATTGATGAGTTTAATAGAGGCACCATGCATAACTTGATTCCATCTCCTTTGAAGGTGTGGTGGGAGGTTTCCTAAGCAGGGAGTGTGAGACAGTTGCAAACCTTTGGGGATAAATCGAGAGAGGGAGTAAAAACTGTAGTTATCCTGATGGTAGGAGAAGCGTAAGGCCTTTTCCTTTGCCTTTCTGAGCTGTTGGAAAGTGCAAATGGTGTCACTCATATCTGTAGAAAGGGAGAGAATAAATGGTTAATACAATAAATCAGTGGAGGAACACGAAGACAAAAAGTACAAGTCAAATGGAGTTGCTCATGCCTTTTGAAGGGACAGAGCAAAACAAAACAAAATTGTGGGTACCTGTAGAGTGGAGAGAACAGTTTGATTAGTACATGGTATAAAACGATCAAAAGAAGGAACAAAACAAAACACAATGAAACTTACATATCAGCAAGGAGGATCACCACGAAGGGATACTGCAACAGAGAAGTTGAAACAGGAAAAAAGTAAGACTGCTGCAAACTGCTTACTGACTGGGTGGACCTGAAATATATAAATCTAAAAATTAATGTGGCCTGACGTTGCGAACTTAGCAAGTTCTTCTTCAGAGGCTAAAACAGAAATGACAGAGGTACATACATTAACATGGGGGTGCACACAAACATGCAGGGATGAAAGAAGAAACACAAAAGGAGGATTAGGTGGGAAAGGTGTGGAAAGATGCAGGGGAGGGTAGATGAGAGAACAAAGAAACAAAGGGAGATGGCAAACCACAAGGGGTCTGGTATGAACAGGGGAGGGACCAGAAAGGGGAAGGATCAAAGGTCACAGGGAGTGGGAACGGACAAAAGAGTGTGGGAGTGAAGGGGGATTATGCAGGGGGGGGGGGGAACAGTATGGAGGTGGAAAGGGATTAAAATAAAGTGTTACACAGTGTTGGAGGTCTCGAGGCCGGCCTCGGCCTCGAGGCCGGCCTCGAGGCCGATTTTCATGGCATTGGCCTCGGCCTTGGCCTCGGAGGTGCAAGGCGTCGGCCTTGGCCTCGGCCTCGGAGCCTTCCGGCCTCGGCGAATCGGTCGAGGCCGGCTCGAGGCCGCCCATTTTGATGTGTTTTCTATTCTAATTAATTTTAATTTTTTGCCGTATCAAACCCTCGAGATTCTGCCGCAGTGGATTCCGTGAAACGAACGCATAGGCTATACAATGTACGCACAAATGAACTGGAAATGGTTGCATTGAACGTACTCACGTACGTAGCATCTTCGCCTAGCCTGTGCTTTTGCTTTCCACGTGCGTGCAAGCGTTATAACTGTTACCGCGTGCCAGACTACATAAGTCTGGCACTCTGGCACCAATCCCATTTGCTTACAATAACATGTGGTAGTAGACTAGTCTGGTTGCAGTGTTGTACAAAATTTTCTCGTTTCGCCTCTGTACCCCGACCTTTAAAAATGATTTGCGGCAAGGGGCGGCAAGCTTAATCATTTCTTTTTATAGGCCACTGCTTCAGTAAAAGTCTGAACTTTCTTGGTACGATCGAGTGTACTAGTCCGTACCATTTTGTTTCATAAAGATATGATAAAAACAACTACGATTGATCAAGTAGATTTTATTTTTACACGGTGATTTAAATGAAAGTTCCGGCTCACACGGTAATGTTTGGCGCAAATGGTCGATATGGAATGCGCGATTTCAGAATTCGTTTTTCCATCCAAATGAATGCAAAGTTCTCAATGAATGTTTTAATAATAGGAGTCAATTATTCCTCGTGGTACCAGGATCCTTTTTTGTATTTTTAGAGCCATGTTGATACTTATGACATGTATAAGCACTGTTTGAAATTGACTAATTTTGCGTGGTTACAGAAATACGGCCAAAATCTCTGGACTCCCTACCTCTTGCCATGATCTTAAAATTCTTCGAAGCCATTGGATTCAAATCGGATGATCCGAGAATTCATGGTCATTTTGATGAACTGAGTGATATCATGCACGCATGTTCCGTGTTGCCGTGTTGTTTGGAGCGAGATTGGCCATTGCCAGACTTTGTCTGGTGCCGCGGTATTAACAGTGATAATGCGTGGACACTTATCCCTTGTGTGGAGCGGGATTGGAACTATGCTTTGCCCGTGCGTAACGGCGGGCCGTCTGGCATTGTCTGGTCGCATCGCGGTGTTTGCTCGGCGCGCGCCTGGACAGTGCGAAGGTCGGGGGGGGGGGGGGGGGGTTCGTAACGTTTTGGTTATGAGTGGTAAAAACCTGATTCAAAAATCAAGTTGTTGTTTATTTAATTGGGATTCCTATGATATTAAGCATTTTGATAGGTTTTGAAAATAAGATTTTAAAAACATGCTAAAAGTAAATGATGTAAATCTTACAGAGTAGAAACTCAAAATTTGGCCATTTAAATTGTTGTATCTCCAAAGGGCAAACACCTATGAGCCTGATACAAAACTTGAGATTTCTTTCTTTAAAAAATAAAATTCGCCGGACTCCCTACAAGAGGAAACCCATTGCAAGCTGTAAATTTGTAAGCCATGCACTCCAAAACTCAGTGAATTCAACTTAAAAAGATGTTAAAACTCTAACATAATCTTATTAGCCTTGTTTTAGTGATTTATATTTTATTATGTTTTGATAGCTGGCCTCGGCCTCGGCCTTGGCCTCGGAGGTGGTGGCCTCAGCCTTGGCCTTGGCCTCGCGGTTGTGGCCTCGGCCTCGGCCTTGGCCTCGGAGGTTGTGGCCTCGGCCTTGGCCTCGGCCTCGGAGGTTTTGGCCTCGACTACAACACTTACATAACCTTTAGAAATCGCCCTTCGCAACCATATGGCTGGTTTCATTTATCTAAAAGAGAGTTCCTCTTTTGTGTCCGTTTCCGTGACGCGGTTTCATTTTGCATATTATATCGTTATCGGCACCACGAACTGACACTCCACGTAATCAACAATTTCGGTTTCACGAACTGACACCCGTTAGAGCGCGCACATCGACACTGACGCAAACTATGAAAATGTCTTCGTTTTCATGAACTGACACCCAAGCATGAGGATATGGCAATACAGAACGGAGAAAAAAACAGTTTGAAAGATTTTACACGAATTTAATCCATCCGTATACTTGTGTACCTCCACACACAAAATAATTAAAAAGCGTTTGAATTGGTGAAATTAAGGTCAGTTAGTCTTTTTATTCTAGATCTATATGGTCAGTTCGTGGTGCCGATGACGATATTCATGACGCGTCTCTGGCTCGCTGCACTTGACATTGGGTCCATGCGGTGATTGCTAGGCGCACAGTTTTCAATAATACTCAAATCATCATTGAATCTTTTGTTTTAAAGATGGGAATTCTCCTTTAAGGGCTGGGTTTCATCATTGAATGTCCGCCTTTCCGGTTCACACGACATGATTTGTTTAAAGCGCTGCTTGTCAGGGAAAGAGGAAGTAGTGCCTCTATAAACAACAAGCCTAGTCTCATATTGATTCGCTTTTCTTTTTTGAATAGATAGCCTTGCCGTTCAGTTGCGGACAGTAGGCCTAATGCAGACATTGTTTTATGGTGGCACAATAATATTATTTATGAAACAGGAAGGGATACATGAAGCAACTGCGGCATCGCCAAATGTCAGGGGAAACCCCAAATTCCCCGATGTCTCATTCCCAAAGTGACACGAACGAGAATGAATGACAAAAGATTACAATAGCTTATTCGAAACTTATTCGTCTAGATGTATAGGCATTCAGTGCATTTTGGTAGATAGCACTGTGTAATTTTTTTTGGGTTAGTCTTCAGAGGAAAATGCAATGTGTTCATTGTTCAACAAGAACATTAAGAATCTCTGGTTGAAAGATTCCACATCTTCCCGAATCAAACTTCAAGTTTATGCAAGTTAGGCTATACAGTCTATCGTTCTGAGGGTGGGGGAAGCCACAGAAAGGTAAAACAGAACAAAACAACAGTACCTCTACTGTCCACACATCACAAGAAGAACTCGAATAATTCCGATAAATGTTTGAGTTTCGCTCGAGCACCTAAAAGTGTAACATAATAATTAGCCTTAAACTGCGAATTCGGTACAAGACTGGAAACAAACTTGAACAAAAAATAGTATAAAGTTAATCATGCTGTAAAAGGCTGCTCCAATTGTCTTGACGCGCAACAAAGGTTATTATTTTGTTGGTTAAACAAACACCGAATCTGCACGAAGAATAAAACGAACAACTTCCTCCAAGTCTCAACGCAAATTTATAGGCCTAAACTACTGTAGTCTGCAATATTTCCCGGAACTTAATGGTCATTTTACATGTAGTTTTTGATGGGAGATAAACATCGCATAAGTTCTTGCAAACGGGTCACGCGCCGATCAAATCATCTCCGGAGGAAATTTGATTGTGGGGATTTTTTGGTGGAAATATAAATTTTATTTTCCTGTAAGAGAATCATTTCAATTCAGTTCTGTTTTTGTAGACTGATCGGCTCGGAGCATAAAAAAAACGAAACAGTTAAGAAATCGAGACCGTGAGCCCGACCTTTCGGCTACTTGGTACTATTAGCATTAGGCCTATTATAAAAACATGGAATTATTAAACATCCGCGGTGAGCAAAACAATCCAACAATGGCTGGGCGTGAAGAGCTGTACAGCTCCAGCGTTAGCACAGAGGAGACACCTCTAATGTCTTCATCCAGACTCATGAACCAAGATGGTTATCCAAGGAAGATGCAGCCCTGGCCGCGTCCTCTCACGGTGGCTTTGTGCATCTTGGGCATCTGGCGACCCGGGACCGCTCAACGCGCTACTCGCAATCTGCAGGCCGGTAAGCGCGTCGGTCACGGACCGCTGCCCCGTGTCTACTCCCACCAGCCCGGCGGCCCGCGTGTGGTAGACAGTAACGGGAACACGGTTGGTATGTCCGGTGCCGATAGCAGCGGCGAGGGTCTGGTAGCAGTGACCAGGGACGGCGGTGATCAAGACGATCTTCCTCCGTTGAGCTGGAGTCAGAGCGTTGGGAGTGAGGAGTGCCGCTTGGATGACACGCAGTGTGATATCTGTTACAGCAATTCCGAGGCGTTGTATGATTTGAAAACCACTGATTCAGGTAAGTTCCGAACGTGAATCGATATAATATCCTACGGGAGATTCAGTTTAATATTCAGAGGGTTATAAGAAACAAAAACAAAATTCAGACAAATAGTCAAAAATGTTTATTATTGGGTTTCGCGGACTATTTTGGAAAATGGGTACATGAATTTCTAAAAAAAAAAACATTCGTTTTCATGCGAAACAGAATGAACAAACATCCCTGTTTCTACTTAACAATGATAATTTTATTTCCCTGAACGGTACATTCAGTCGTAAAAGATCAGCATACGATTTCCCGAATGTGCACTAAATTTAATATTGACATTTCAAATTGGCGCGAAATCGAAGGCACATCCGCAATCCTGTTTTCCACTTAATTTATCATCAATCTATTTCGCTAAATGTGCAGCCGATTTCCCGCGCAGTGGTAGTTTACGTTTGCTTGGTCAAGCATTGGAACTCATTTATGTGTAAACAAAAGTAACATGTTTGATTGAATGATTAAATGTTTGAATATTCATGATGATTGAACTAAACCAAGTGGTGTAGTCTTTTGAAACATACAAACTATTGTAATATATTCTATATAAAACCATTCCTGAAGAAAATCACTTATTGCTCAGCATTTGCAACAATCGCATCATATAGCAAAGTGTGGCAGTTCACGTGCCTCCTAAAATATCCAATAATGGCTGCAAGAGGGCGATACAGATAGACAATCGAGCTGATAAAATGAGAGATAACTCTTTAGAAATCCAGAAAGACATTAAATATAGACAAAGAACTTGAACCAACAAAAAAGGCCTCAGAACCAATGTAACATGACAGGTGATGTTTCCCTTTACAGTCCCAATAATATGCCAATAATTATTTTGATTGATATTATTTTGGTCAGATTTATATTATTTTTACATATTTTTTGCCTACATTTCACATAGGCCTTTGTTTATATAAAAACAAACACATTAATGATCAATCAGGCCTACAATACATTGATTAATTATAGAATCAATCAAAGTTGTATCATGATTTGTATAGGCCTGTATACTTTATTAAAATGGAATGCACAATATGCGAATTTAAATTATAACAAATGAAAAAGAATAATAAATTCAGCCCGTGTCACAATAAAAAAATATTTACTGCGAATTGGATTGCACATTCGTAATAATCGGCAACGCATACGTCAAACCGAAAGCCTAATCACGTATATGTAATCATTTAAATGAAACTTCATGCACTTTCATTGCGAAAATGAAACATTGATATACGTCGTTCTCAGCATCAAATTGAATATGTGTTTTACAAATTCAAATGCACAGTTTCCAAAATTGTCCGGGAAAACCCATAGTATTATTATTGTTTTAAGATTGCTGACTATTTTCGAATTTTTAATAGCTGGGTAGTGCATTGTAAAGAACCTTAAAGTTGCGTGCCCGGTGCACTTCAAAGTAGATTTCTTTTTCTCCTATCAAATTTCCAATTTGTATGTTTTGTTTTAACGAAAACAAAACTACTTTATTTTGGGCGTCTGCAATCGTCTGAAAAAAAGGGCTTTTGTTTTGAGTGCGCACAAAATTAATTCTCTGTGGTTGTCATTTATTGATACAGGAAATGACAATAAAAGTCAATATTAACATTCTGTTTCGGATGCTTGATATATACTTCAAAATGTTTAACTCTGACCGATTGAATGGACCAGTATAAGGTTTAGGGATATACGTAGTGCAGAATTCTTTAACAGATCTCAGACCATGTAGGCCTATCATTTATTTAAAGCTACAGTCCATCAATTGCAGCTATCCAAAAAAGTAACTGACGTAATTATTGTTGAAAAACATACTTGGTTGAAAGATAGTAAGGGAACTAATCTCCCTGTGAAATTATTCTTTCTGGCAAGCTGTCATTTTGAAGAAATCAACGAAAGAAGGCCTTTCCAACGATGCGCGTTGCTAAAAATCTCCAAATAAAATCAGCTTATCTGATAAAATGTGTATAAAGCATAGAGCTATTGTTGTAAAGATATAGTCCATCATTTGTAAATTGTGCATTTTGTTCGTTTGAAGCAACAAAAGTGTTCAAAATCTAATGAAGGATACTGAACAACTAACCTGATGAAGTTTCAGCTCAGCTTCAGCTGTATATTCCGAGAAAAACAGCATTCTAGGATCTCAATTTCAAATCAAAAGTTGCTGAATCATGTTTTGAATTGTTTTGAATTGCAGCTATACGCGATGTCGCGCACTGATCCGGCGAATTCGTGACAATGCTTGCGCGCGCTGCGCCGAATAACAAAACGAACTACTAATTTAAATTTTCCTACGGTGCGTCTTCAAACGCACCGTTGGAAAGGCCTTCTTTCGTTGATTACTTCAAAATGACAGCTTGCCAGAAAGAATAATTTCACAAGGAGTTTAGTCCACTTACTATCTTTCAACCAAGTATGTTTTTCAACAATAATACGCTAGTTACTTTTTTCCGATGGCTGCAAATGATGGACTATAGCTTTAAACAATGAAAAGGAAAAAGTAGAATGTAAAAATTGCTTTAAATTACCGTTGAATTAGTTAAGAAAATTGTGAAATGTTGCAATGGATGATTTTAGAGATTTGTGTTACAATTATTATTCTTTTTGGGATGAGAACAATTTACTTGGATTGCATTTTATATGTGTGACTTTTAATGACAATAATATTGCCCCTAAAAACCGTTTTAAGAATGAAATGAAATTACACTCCTGTAATGTTCCGGACTTCTGAATAACCTAATTAACTCTTCAAGTTTATTTACACTGCATCTGATATACGGCATATGTTATACCCTGAGGAGGGACAATTGAGAAAAAAAATATTCTGGGTGTTGTCCCTTAAAAGCTGCCATGAATTTCAATTAAAGGACAGCGCAACAACTGCGGGAATATTCTGTTTGTTGATGAAGAAAATAGCACTCAAACCACTGGATGCAAGGGTTTTTTAAGCAACGCGCACCAGCATTTTAAAACGGGAAATAAATACGAGAAATAAAATGGACCAAACTTCGAAATAAACATGCGGCTTGATAACCCATTTTGAATTTTGTTGGGGAAATAACTACTAAAGGTCAAAAATATTACTTTTACGGACATAAAAATATATCTTTCCATACAAACCTACGGGGAAAATGGTGCGCGTAACGCAACTTTTGCCCCACGCGCTAAAAAATGGCCCCCTCCATGGCAGAACGCGCGTCTGTACCACTGATCTCTATATAAAGACTTTATATAGAGATCAGTGGTCTGTACGCACTGCCGATCTAGTCTTTTTATTCTTTACCCATTGATCTCCATATGGAGATCAATGTCTATACCCATGGTTTTTGTATCCAGCGAAGTGTGCGCAAGCGTTGACACGTCGCACACTCGCGCGCGGTTGCTATAACTCGTCTTATCAGTGCGCGACATCGAGTAGCTGCAATTAGTGGTGCGGCATAGGGACAGAATTGTGCATTTTGTTATAAAAGCATGAAACTTGGCATGTGATGTCTTCATACCATTACAAAAAAAATTCAGATATGGAGGCATTTCATATCTGACCCCTGGTGACCTTTGAGGGGTCAATGGCCTTTGAATACTCTATTTATGCCTATTGTTCTTGGAAACATCACTTTCCTATGACCTTAGTCTATGTATAGTCTTCATACAGTGTAAAAAGCGACTAAATGCGAAAATTGACCTTTGATGACCTTCCAGAGGTCAATGACCTTTGTAATAACTGCACTAACTATATTTTATAGTTATTTATAGGATATACCCTTTAAACCCCAATTGTTTTCAAGACCCAAGTCATAATATTAAGTGGCTCATGTTTTGAAAATGTCATATGTAGGGAATCCCATATCTGACCTCTGATGGCCTTCAAGGGGTCAATGAACTTTGCGTATCCTATTTGATAATAAGAGGATTAACTATTCAAAACACCACTTTTTATTACCCATATCTAAATGTTGGGTATTCTTGCCATGATATGAGTTTTCAGATATGTAGACATTTCATATTTGACCTCTGATGACCTTTGCGAGGTCAATGAACTTTGTGTACTCTGATTGCCGTTATTTATCATGTTTAATCTTCCAAATGCCATGTTTTCATGACTAACGTCTAAGCAGAGCAAAAGGAGTGCATTTTAATAAATATTCTACAACATGTCATGATGTTAGACCCCACAGATTTTTTGAATGACCTCTGATCTAAATTTTCCTATTTATAAGGGCAGACGCAAACTTGAAAGAATATAAACGACACATCGGACAAGCATCACTCTCTTACAGTGACCATTGGTCTTGGTAGAAAGGTTAAAAACGTGGCTATCCAAGTCCAACTAGATATAGCAGGGTGTAATAAGTACCCAAGAGTGAATATTGCTTGACATATGTACATTGTCCATTACAAAACAGACCCACAGATTTCTATTTCAATCTCATCATATTGCGTCTGCCAATAAAACAAGGAGAAATGAGGTCAGAGGTCACCTCAAAATTGTTAGTGGGGTCTGAATTCATAACATGACTGTAAACTAATAGGTGCAATACCGTTCTTTGGCACTATTGACATTTGGGTCACACAAAAAATGTCGTTTTGGCGAATAAATTAGATAAATAACGGCAACTAAGATATACAAAGTTCATTGACCCCTTGAAGGGTATCTATACGTCAAATATGATGTCCCAATATCTGAAAATTCTTTTCATGGCACCAAGAGTCAAGCTTTAGACTTGGGTAATGAAAAAAAGTGGCATTTACAATTATGAAAATATTATTAATATCCATTTGTAGGCTATTATTTTACAAAGGTCATGACCTCTCGTAAAGGTGACCAGATGTTGAATATGAAATGACCTATATATGAACATTCTCGTTATAGCATGAACACCTTTCATTTAGACATGAAACGTGAAAAAAAAAAAAAATTCTTCATGGCAATAAGAACCAACATGCGAAGTTTCATGCTTTTATCACAATTTGCACAATCCTTTAGCATATTGGGGCTATGCCGCACCACTAAATCGGCTCAGTGAGAACGTGTCTCGGACGCTGAATTCAGGCCCAATTCAAAACATGATTCAACAATTTTGATTCGAAATCGAGATCCTAGAATGTTGTTTTTCCCGAAATATACAGCTGAAGAAGCTGAGCTGAAACTTCATCAGGTCAGTTGTTTAGCACCCTTCTTTAAATTTTGAGCACGTTTGTTGCTTCAAACGAACAAAATGCACAAATTACAAATGATAGCATTTTGAGTTCTGCAATAGTACGAGCCGCGTGCGCGCTATCGCCGTTTGTGACTTAGCACGCCCCTTGGACAATCCTCAAATGGGGCAAATGGGAGGGGGGGGGGCGTGCGCCCCCACATCCAATGGATTATAAAATTTAGTCGGGCTTGTTTGAATACAGTTGTTATCTTCGTAAATAAGAATTAGTCCTTCAAGTTTATTCCAAAAGTGTGTGTGTCCCAAAAGACATTTTAGTCTCCTATTTAAATTTCATTTTTTTTTACCCGATGACCGCAACAAAATATTTCATAAATGTTCATCTTTGTACGAGTGCTCTGAGTTCCACTAGTCCACATGTATTTTAGATTTTCGGAAGTGAGAGGTCCATTTTTGGTACGATATTTCTCTTTCACGTCATGCGATTTTTCAGTTTCCATAAATTGAGATGCTATAGTAACAATTTTACAAAGGCCTTTTCCGAGGCTGATATTTCCTAAGAAATCAATGTACCAAAAATAATGTTAACACACGCAAAGTTTCCTATTTGAGGGACCGGAAGCGCGCCACCAGGGGTCAACTTTCAGGCTCTATAATTTCCGAAGCTGCTGGTCTCAACCCCCCCCCCCCCCCTTTTCCGCCAATGTTGACCAACTATCCTGCCACTACTTCAGGTCGGGGTCTACCCGATGTTTTCCAATATATGTTCTCCAGTATACCTAATGTTCCCCAAAATCTTATAGGGTTAGGGTTAGGGTTGGGGTTAGGGTTAGGGTTGGGGAACATATAGGTATTGGGGAACGTAGGTATGGACTATGCACCCCTCAGGTCTTACACGCCGTCATGTAATCATGGGAATGTATAATGTTCCTTTTTATTTACAGATGGCAAGATGAAGAAGCTGTTCTACAACGGAGTGATGTTACTGTATCTCGTAACCCTGACTGGCTTCATGACCTATGACTTTGTCGCCTACTTCGAGGTCTTCTGGGGCAATGTGACAAATGTCCTCATCCTCGTCTCCTACTTCACCTATCTGTTCCAGGTGATAGTGGTCCCAGTCTTTGTGTTGCTCACTCGCTTCATGGACTGGTTTCATCTGATGGATAAAGACTGCACCTGGGTTGCTCTGCACAGCGATTTCATCTTCCAACGATCTCAGTACCTCCGACATGGCTCGGGTGCAGCATCCTTCCTGAGTCTCGGTCTGTTCCTGACTTGGCCGATCATCAACGGTGTTTTGAGGATCATCTACGACAGGGTGTACCGACCAGGCTGGAATTCCCACGCCTTCCTCAGCCGCTGGTGCGCCATGGCTTCTTACATCGTCTACGGATCCTTCTGCTATCTTGTCTACGCCCAGCGGAGGTCGTTGCAGAAAGAGTTCCGCGTGGTAGCTCACTTCGTGGCCAGCAACGCTCCCAAAGGAAGTGTCGTGATGGACGTGTGCCGTGACCGGCTGTCCAGGATGTACCACCAGTATCACATTATGCGAGACTTTGTGGGCATCTGGATGGCATTCAGCATGGCCGTAGCCACCTGGGGACTGACTGCCCACCTTACCTGGAATTATGTCATCTTCAGCTACTGTCAGACCAAAGACTTGGACGGTCTACCTGTACTCAACCTGCTCATCTGGTCGCAGAAGATCATGTTCTTCGTGCTACCTTCACTGGCGGTAGGTGGGATCAATATCGACTACATGTGGAGGCACTTCCGCTACATCCTGGCCAATCACGGTCGCCATCGTTACAGCACCTTCTGGCACGCCATCATGAAGCATGTCTCTAGAATCAACCTCCTCGGGCAGGGCCTCAGTGCCACTCTTGTCTTCTCCGCCTTGGGGTTGTATCTAGGCCTATCGTTGGGCGACAGTGCACAAAATGTTGCTTTTTGGAACGGCCCTGGCGAGTTTAACGTCAGCATCCACTGCAATTTTACTTCCCATAAATTACATTAGTATAACTTATGAGTTGATAATATTATTCAACAAACAAAACATGGATGCGGCAGGCCTGGAAAACCATGTCCTTATAGAAATCGATTATGTTCCATCCGTTTGTTGAGCCACAAACATGATCCAGTTCAGAAACGCCGCACCTGCACTGTGAATTCACATGACTCAAAAACATATAGCTTAGTCCGTCCAACTTATGAGACGTTTGCGGAGTAACTTGAACGGGAATGCCAACCTTAAATTAGCTCATTCTAAGAATGTTATTGAAGGGTCTCTGTACTCAAGGGCGGATCCAGGGGGGGGGGGGGCCAAAGGGGGCCATGGGCCCCCCCCCCAAAAAAAAAAAACGAAACCAATTTTTTTTTTTTTTTTTGTGACATCGCAATAAAGGCAGGCAATGAGTACACCACCATCTTTTCCTCAAAAAACCATTGGTTAAAGTGGTCAGAAATTGCCTCAGATCGCACCACAGAGCATCTAGAATCCAAAAATTTTTCGGGGCCCTTAAGCGGGCCCCGAACCCCACGCCGTAATTTTTTGACCCACTTTTTGGGGGGACCAAAATTTTTTTTTGGCCCCCCCCCCCCAAAATTGTGTTCTGGATCCGCCCTTGTCTGTACTCGTCATTATTCTGTATAGCAATGGGCAGGATGTACATGTAATAAAGTCGTCAATTAATTTATCAGACTAGCCCTATAGGTATTGGAGTTAAAAGGGAAATAAGGATGTATATAGTTACACAATTAACACTTATCATCTTATATAAAATTATATTATGTTGTATATAATGATAGACCTCACCCATGTTTTGCTTCCTTGTTTCTTCCTGGATAACAACGAGCCTATTAAATTAATTTTATATAATTATATAAATATTTTTCGAAGCAGAGTGAACCTGTTTAAACAATGATCGCATAACATCGATCGACGCTCGAACGGTTCGATAAGGTAGCAGACCAGTAAATAAACTTCCATAGACCCCAATGGTAAATGCTCCCACTTCAAAAATTCGGGAAAAATACTCGCAACTCTCCAAGGTGTTCGAGACGCACATCAAATTAAAGCTTATTTCATCATCTTTCATTTTCTTTTCAATTTTCGTGGGGTCAACTGATGACTTTTAGGAGAAATTTCCATCTGAAGATGATCACCCCTGAAAATAGTCCTGAAGCCCATCGCCATTTTGAAAAACGATGCCTACACTCCATTGCAAAATAGAGCGCTTTTAGTGTCCAAATTACATCAAAATTACACAGAACTGCAAGCTCCCAGTCCTGTGCACGGCTTCCACCCATAGTTTTTACAAACCCTGAAGTTCATGGCCCACAGCATGCTCAAATACCGAAGATTTTGAGGGCATGCAAATCGTGATTTGGCCGGCGCAGGCAATTTCGGACCGATTTACTGGTCTGCACCCATAAGCAAACAGTACATCACTTTCAAACGCAAGGTGAATGGAACCTTATCGTTTGTTTTCGTCCGGCGATGATTGCCGGAAATAGCTGCGAGGTCAGGGCAATCATTCTTTTTTAACATGTTTTAACCGTTCACCCTTTTTCGTTGTTTGTAAAATACAGTCATTTTAGGTTGAGCCCAAGTGTCTTCTAGTTCTTCACTTATCACCTGGGTAAGTGTAGCGCGCCGTATTGCACTTAGTTACAGGCGCATGATGCGGGGACGGTTTGTGTATCCTCAACCCCAATAATGTGTGTATGTCGATTCAAATTACCGACTTCAATAACTTATTCTCGGCTGTGTACACAACGTAAGACAATTGCTACCAGATTTGGATGGAACACTGTCTGATTGGTTAAGAATCTGATTGGTTAAGAATGGAGAATAAGAATGTTCATATACACCTTACAGCTTTTGCGTCTTTTTATTCTATATATATGCATTGGACATTATTTCACAAGATGCGTTGACACAACCTCGTCAGAAAAGCAGATTTTACGGTTTTGCACAATAAATTTTTCGACTTTTCTGCTTTTCTGCTATCAGAAAAGCAGATTGAACGTTTTGTGACAATGCATTTTTTGCTTTTCTGCTTTTCTGCCACCTACTTAGGTGGCCGAAAAGTGACCATCTGCTTTTCTCCTTTCAGAAAAGCAGAAAAGTGGATCGAACGTTTTGACAACAACTGTGCATTCCACTTTTCTGCTTTTTGGATACCGCCGGAAAAGCAGATTTTACTTAGGCGGCCGATAAGTTGTCATCTGCCTTTCTGCTACAAACTGAGCAGATAATAACGTTCCCGGACAAAACTATAGTACCGACCAAAAAATGGACGATTCCAAGTGACTCCGCCTCCGTTTTACGTCATCACAGCTTGCGCCCGAATATCTCCGTCCAATCCACAGACCGTTTCACACGCGACGAAGACATGCTCACGCCTCATACATGTGATTGACACCGTGGAGTTCGGGATACGGAACTTCGTGGAGAAAGTCGGCTCACACAAGGAAACCAAATTGGAAAGGGAAAATTCTTTTGATGATGCGACTGCTGTCCAGGCGAAGGAACACCATCCACGACAATAAATCTGGGGCGGATGGGGATCGGAAAGATAAATTCCCCTCTTTTTTTTAGACTTAAGAAATCAAAAAAGTTTCTTTGTGTGAGCCAAATTTCTCCGCGAAATTCTGTATCCTGAACTCCACGGTGTCAATCACATGTGTATGTGGATTGGCCGGTCTGTGGATTGGATGGAGATTCAGGCATAAGCGGTGATGACGTAAAACGGAGGCGGAGCTAGTCACTTGGAATCGTCCATTTTTTGGTCGGTACTAGAGCGGCGTAGTTGCGTTCGGGAACGTTATAATCTGCTCAGTTTGAAGTAGAAAGCAGATGGCCACTTTTCGGCCGCCTAAGTAATCCGGAATCCAAAAAAGCAAAAAAGTGGAATGCACAGTTGTTGTCAAAACGTTCGATCCACTTTTCTGCATTTCTGAAAGGAGAAAAGTAGATGGACACTTTTCGGCCACTTAAGTAACATCTGCTTGTCAGGTGGCAGAAAAGCAGAAAAATGCATTGACACAAAATGGTCAATCTACTTTTCTGCTTTTCTGATTTTCTGATAGCAGAAAAGCAGATGGCCATTTTTCGATCGCCAGGAAAAGGGGGAAAAGTAAAATCTGCTTTTCAGGTAGCAGAGAAGTAGAAAAGTCGAACAAATACGTTGTACAAAAACGTAAAATCTGCTTTTCTGCCTTTCTGATAGCAGAAAAGCAGATAGCCACTTTTCGTCCTCCATATTTCGGCCCATGCATTCATTGTTCGGTCCAGAAAATTTTAGTCTAGATGTAAAAGACAATATAATAAATGGAATTGGGCTAGCTACAGCGAAATTATTTTAATTGGAAAGAGCACTTAAAAGTAGGATATATAAACGTCCAAATAAAACACCCTTTCAAAAGTGGGCGTTTTGTGTTATTCTTGCGATAACCATGCGGGAACGAATTTCGGGGCTCAAAATGTTGGCTCTCAAAAATCGAGCTGTTGGGTAGCTAGTCGTGATTCCTGCCGCACGTGTTCTATCAGTACATCGCTAGGTGCGGACGTGCGAGTATTTGGTGCTGTGTGTTTTCAGTGTCGCACATACAACGTGTACTTATACATTGAATGGACACGGCTGGACTAAGGTAATGCGTACCGGTATGTCACAAAATGTCCGCCGCGTCAGAAATAAACCATCGGGATTTTTCGTCTTTTCTCAGGAACAGTGAGACATTTTCTTTTCATGAAATAGGATAAGTAAACAAACCAAAACACAGAATTTTCGGGGATTTCGGGCCGGTCCGGTAATGCCTCCTTTAAGGCCCTGTCACGCTGTTCCGAATAGAGCTAACGTGTGCCCGACGTTTTTGGAAATTTGGATGTACATTCGTGGAGATGTCATTCGTTCGTGACACGTTTGGCATAAGTTGTATTCGTTAGCGGTTCGTGGGGGTTCGCAGAGGTGTGATGGGGTCTAGAAAAAAAATTGAACATGTTCAAAATTTTGAGTGGGCGACAACGTAGTGATCAATACGCTATGTATACGTTGAGCATTCGTTGTGTGAACGTTTCGCACGGTTGGGTGTAGGTTGCTTCTTCGTCAGCTGTTCGGACATAATTATACACCCGACCCAAGGATCTTTGTCATAATAGTCAGGTTCACAATGTATTTCGTTGGGGTTTTATGGGGATTAGCAAAACTATACATTTTTGAAAACGTTATGTTCTAGTGAATCCAAAAACCAGTGTTTCCTTTTTTTCTGACGCCATTATGTCGGCCATTTTGTGGGGATAAAAGGGGCGGATCCAACACCCCCCCCACTCTAAGATCTTGGCCATGCCATGACAGATTTGATTAAAATTTGGTATGCTTGTGAAGATAACACTGCTAAGCACATGTGTAGAGTCTCAGTTCAATAGAACAAAGCATGCTGTAATTATCTTTGTTTATAATTGACACTACAAATTATCCCTTTATCCTATAGATATTCAACGAAAAAAGTTACCATTTTACGATACCCTGCGTTTGAAATTGACATTTGGCAATAACGGTAGGTCCGAAAAAGTGTCCCCTTGTGCGAATGCCCAACGTATACGACACGTAGAGTTTGTCTAACCATAGAGCTAGGACCCAGCTCTATGGTGTAAAGTCCCTGTCACACCTTTGCGTATCCTAATTCCTTATGAGTTCCTTATCAAAAATTTTCAATACGCAGCCGTACGCTAAATTAACGTCGAAATGTTTTGATCACTTTGACTTATGTGCGACGCACATCTAGCGTACAAGTAACGAATTCAGCGCAACCATTGCGTATGAGATGCGTATGAGTTGCGTATGCAGTGCACAACATTATTTTTCGGGCTGCGATTAGGTCAGTATGCAGTGCGCATGCCGAGCGTATTCCGGACGCACCCGACTTATGCCGACCGCATGCTTGACGCACTTCTGAGCGTATTCCCGCCGCATTTCCGCCGCTCGCCGTTCAGCGTGCGTTGCATCTGCGCTGCAAGTACGCTATGTATACGTCCAATACAGGCGGCTCATATGCTGACGGGGTGCGGCACGAACACATAGCGTACTCGTAACGCACTCGACCGATGCGGGACCGATGCGCTGCGTATTTATAACTTATGACCTGCGCAACAGCGTACGCAGCGTAGTTTTGTGCATGCCCAAAACTATCCTGCGTACTGGGCCGTACCATGCGAATATCTGCGTACATAAAACCTACACAAAACGATAGAGATGCATATGAGGTGCGTATTGTGCGTAGGACTGCGTATGAAAAAAATGTCAATGCGCAACTCATAAGGAATTAGGATACGCAGAAGTGTGACAGGGCCCTAACGAATGTGACGATGTGGACTTGGAGAGCGTATTTATAAGTCAGCGGAGACACATCACGTGACCGGCCGCAGCACGCTAGGCATACGTTGGCCATTCGTTGCGTACGTTCAGCATTCGTTGAATGGACGCTACGCATGTGTTGTCATTCGTTACTATGGATGCTGGTTATACAATCAGCATGCGTTCCTCATTTGTTGGCCATTCGTTTTATACGTCAGGAGTTCGCAAAAAAAAAACCCAGATTTTGGCCGATAATTTGAGCGTATCTGGACTTTGCCAAATTTCGAAACAAAAAATTCAGTACGCTAGACATAAGTTAGCTCTGTTCGCAACTATGTGACAGGGGCTTAAGTGACGCATTTTGTTTCTATATATATACATTCTAATCTCCTAAGGAAAATGCAATGCGTTCAACAAGAAAATTATCTCAGTGGTTTAAAGATTCTATGTCTTCCTGAGTAAAATTTCAAGTTTATGCAAGTTAAGTAGACTACCATTTAAGGGAAAATGCCACAGAAATGAAAGCAAATCAAAACAGCATTTATACTGTCCACACATCAAAAGAATAACTCGGATAATTCCAATAGACGTTTGGGCTTCGCTCGAATACCCACAAGTATTTTTCAGTTAGAAAAACTGCAAAGTCAGAACAAGGGAACAAAAACTGTTAGGTAATCATGCTGTAGAAAGCAAACTTTGGCATAAACTGTAGTCTGCAATATTTCCCGGGACTCGGTGCTTATTGTTTTGTTTGGAGATAAACATCAATGTCAATTGTTGCACACGGGTCACGCACCGATATACAATGCATCACTGGAGGAAATGAGATTGTACGTGTTTTTGAATGAGATTGTGCCTTGGATGATACAGGCATGGCATTTGGCACACAGTCAGAGTATGTCATGAGAAAGATATCTTGCTATAAAGGGCCATCGACGATTTTGACGATCTGAAAATTGCTTGTTGTTTAACCTAGGAAAGGAAAAATCTGAGAGGGCCCTATAGCCAAATATCTTTCTTAAGACTACTCTGAATGTGTGCTAAATGCCATGCTTGTATCAACAAAGTGAGCAATCCCTCCAAATATCTCTACCCGACTATATAAAACACTGTAAGTCCCTTTATTGTTGGTGTCACATTCAGAGAGCATAATTTCAAACCAGTTCTGTTTGATGTAGGCCTACACTTAACAGAAAGTGAAAGTTCGTATAATCAAAGGATGTATGTCATATCCAACGGCTCGGAGCATACAAACGAATCAGTTAGGAAATGGACACAAAAAGTCCGACCTTTCGCCTAGGTATAAAAAACCGAAACATGGAAATACTAAACATCAGTGAGCAAAACAATCCAACAATGGCTGGGCGTGAAGAGCTGTACAGCTCCAGCGTTACCACAGAGGAGACACCTCTAATGTCTTCATCGAGACTCATGAACCAAGATGGTTATCCAAGGAAGATGCAGCCCTGGCCGCGTCCTCTCACGGTGGCTTTGTGCATCTTGGGCATCTGGCGACCCGGGACCGCTCAACGCGCTACTCGCAATCTGCAGGCCGGTAAGCGCGTCGGCCGCGGACCGCTGCCCCGGGTCTACTCCCACCAGCCCGGCGGCCCGCGTGTGGTAGACAGTAACGGGAACACGGTTGGTATGTCCGGTGCCGATAGCAGCGGCGAGGGTCTGATAGCAGTGACCAGGGACGGCGGTGATCAAGACGATCTTCCTCCGTTGAGCTGGAGTCAGAGCGTTGGGAGTGAGGAGTGCCGCTTGGATGACACGCAGTGTGATATCTGTTACAGCAATTCCGAGGCGTTGTATGATTTGAAAACCACTGATACAGGTAAGTTCCGAAAGTGAATCAGGATCAACTTGGGGCAAGGGAGGGATTCAGTAAGTTCAGTTTATTAAATATTCAGAAGGTTATGAAACACAAACGAAATTCTAACAACAAGTCCAAAACATTCGGAAAAATATTTTGGTTTTCCTCTTCTTTTGTATAGATTGCTGGATATTTTCAAATTAATGTTCGGTAAGTTTACAATAATAGTTGGTGCCTATTTAAAACAAAAGGAAATATATAATATAGAGCCATTATTCTTATAAAAATGGAAGGAAAAGATGAATACACTGTAGCTGGGAAGTGCATTACATATATTTACTAAAAGAATCTTAAAGTTGCATACCTCGTGCTCTTCAATAAACGGAATTTTGTTTTTCTCCTTGCGAATTGTCAATTTGTATGTATTTTGTATTAACGAAACATTTTTTTCTTTATTCCGATGTTGGGCGCATGTAAACCTTCGAAAAAGAACTTTTTTTGGACGCATAAATAACAAATTATATGAGAGACGAATTATTATCTTGCTGAGAAATGTTTGTTGAGACTTTAGAATTCACAGAGTCAGTTTCGAGTAAATAGAACCAATAAAATCGGCTTCATATTGACACAGTGGGTATACTAAGGCCTATACTTCTCCTTTTCAGCCATATGGTTGCGAACGCGAAAGCGTGCCGGTTGTCAAGTAAAGCTAATCCGATTACTTACTTAGACGCTGTAACAGAGCAGTGAAATTCTCGACACCCCCCCCCCCCAAAAAAATGGCCTTTTGAACGTTGTGTTTCTCAGAAAATATGCTCAGTATGATTGAAATGTTAAATAATAACGGAAGAAATAATTCTAAACCTCATGTCATTGGTTACTGGTAAAGCTGACCTTCAAATCTGGAAGAAATCGTTCGAAAACTTTCCCAAATCTATGTATTTACACCAATTTCTAAGAATCAACTGAAGTTGTTATTTCACGAGTAGTTGAACACTTATATCATCTAAGTATATTACGAATTTCAGCTTAATACGTTGTTGCTTACGCTTGCGCTACACCTTGAACCACCTGTAAGGAAATTTTCGACAAGGATGTTTTGCCGACCCGTATGCGCTATACAGTTGCCCGATTTCGGCCCGGCAACACAAGACGACGGGCATATTAGCATATTCATTAGCGTCACTCGGCGTGAATTGGCGTGGGTCTCGGTATCGACCAAAGGAAGCTGGCAAAAAGGGGTGATATTTATCAATTAATATCTCGTGAAGGAGGGTTTTATGCATATGTTTACTGCACATCATAATGGATAGGAACCTTATTATATTTGCGAGACTTGAAAAGATTGACAGACATTGCTAACGCCAGTGTTACAACTTTCAAATATGCAGGCAGCCAGGACTATTTTTCTAATTTCAATGAGAAGTAAAGAACATATCACAACGATTTTTAGCACATAATTACTTGGATCATTATAAGGGAAATAAACCCTGAAAGTTGCACGAAGATACGGTCTTCCAAACGGGAGAAATTTAAATTTCAAAGATTTCGCCCGCCTGGGTGAACATGTCTGTGTACATGTAGGTTCATTCAAAATAAAGCGTTTAATATGTAACCTTTAGAATTCGCCCTTCGCAACCACATGGCTGTTTTGATGAAAGAAAGTCACATTAGACCAGCGGCGGCGGAACGGTTTTGAAACGGGGGAGGGGGGTCATCACCAAAAAGGGGCACTTAATTGCTTCATCCGCGCCGAAATGTCGACACGTTTTTTTTCACCGCAAGGGCACATTATGCTCGAGGGGGCCCACTTACGTCAGCAAGAGGGGCACTTGGGTAAATCTGTAGGGCAAAGTGCCACCCCCCCCCAGCCCCCGGTTCCGCCGGCCCTGCATTAGACAACACAATGCAAAAGTATATATATAAATAATTATATATCAAAACAGAAAGAGCATGTATAAATTAACACTAAACTATATGTGATGTGCAAGAATTATCCACTACATATGGGTTAGGCAAACACAAAACAGGAACGAATTATTTTACAAAACAATAAATGTTCGACTATAAACTGTGGGGTCTCCACAGGCATTCTTGCATAGACACATGAAGAAGATGCTACCTATTGCATTTACTATTTTCTTTGATAGTTCAGCAACTCGCTCTGTACCGACAGTTGCCATGGATAAGATAAAGGAAAGCTCATTTTCAACACAACATGAATACAACTTAAAGGGTGAACAACATGAAACAAAAATCATGAGGTCCAAAGGAAACATTTGTGATATTGAAACCGAGGATGTAAACGCTCTCGTTTGTTTTGAGGATTTTTAAAAGACAATGTTCTCAGGGGAAAGTTTGGGATTTCACAGTCTGAACTCTCTGTGTTGTTGCTGTCACAGGAAATGACAATGCCAGTCAGTGTAAACATTTCTGTTTCGGGTGCATGATACATGAATATATTCAACTCTGACCGATTGAATGGACCAGGATTTCAAAAGCCAGTAGGTCCGCGACCGACATGAGCGTCGCCAGGATTTTTTTCTAGAGGGGGGCAAAACATATATTTCCCAAAAAATTCTTGTATTTCTCAATATACTCTTGATTTATCAGTTTAAGAGGGGGCAGGGACTGGCATTTTGCCCCCCCCCCCCCCACCCATTAAATTTACACCACTATGACTTCGCACCTCTTTTTCAACACAACATGAATACAACTTAAAGGGTGACCAATCTGATAACAACATGAAACAAAAATCATGAGGTCCAAAGGAAACATTTGTGATATTGAAACCGAGGATGTAAACGCTCTCGTTTGTTTTGAGGATTTTTAAAAAACAATGTTCTCAGGGGAAAGTTTGGGATTTCACAGTCTGAACTCTCTGTGTCGTTGCTGTCACAGGAAATGACAATGCCAGTCAATGTAAACATTTCTGTTTCGGGTGCATGATACATGAATATGTTAAACTCTGACCGATTGAATGGACCAGGATTTCAAAAGCCAGTAGGTCCGCGACCGACATGAGCGTCGCCAGGATTTTTTCTAGAAGGGGCAAAACATATATTTCCCAAAAAATTCTTGTATTTCTCAACTTATACTCTTGATTTATCAGTTTAAGAGGGGGCAGGGACATTTTGCCCCCCCCCCCCCCACCCATTAAATTTACACCACTCTGACTTCGCGCCTCTTTTTCTTTCTTTTTTTCCCCTTTTTTCCCTTCTTTTCCAAGGGGGGGGGGCGCCTTGCCCCCCCCCCTCGCGACGCCCATGGCGACCGATTTCCGCTTTACAGCAGCCTCTTTCGCTTCCGACGTATCCTTTTATTAAATAAAAATACCCCAATGTGCGTAAACAGAATCAAGGAATTAGGCCATAGGTGCAAGGGCGGATCCAGAACACACATTTTTTGTTGCGGGGGGGGGGGGCCAAAAACATTGTTCCCCCCAAAAAAATTGACTCAAATTTTATGGCCCCGAATTTTTTTAATTGCTCTTTGGTCCGATCTGAGGCAAGTTCTGACCACTTTAACCAAAAGATGGTGGTATACGCAGTGCCTGCCTTTTTTGCGATGTCACTTTAGAGAAATAACATGGGTTCGTTTGGGGGGCATGGCCGCCGTTGCCCCCCGCCCCCCCCCCCCCGGATCCGCCGTTGCATAGGTATATGGTATAGTAGGGTTGGGGAGCGGGCGACCCAACAAACTGTACTATGCTTGGACATGTAATGTTGTCGTTTGATAATGAAAATGTCCAGACTTTAACTGCAAGAAAGCGAAAGGCCCGGCACGAAAGCCACAATTTCTTTCATGCACAAGAAAACGACATCTATACCCTCTTATATGTCTAGCTGGGAACGGGCCAGATTTTGGTCACTTAAAAAAAGGTTAAATGGTAGCATCATGACTTGTACATGTATGTAAAGAGGCCGCCGTGCAGTGTTTATTGTATTGTTCATTGGTTATGAATTCACCACCTATACGCAAGACCTTAGATTCTCATCCCCCCCCCAAAAAAAAATGAAAACAAAAACAAACCTTCAGGTCTTCACAGCATCATGTAAAATGTAATCGTAGCAATGTATATGTTTGTTTTATTTGCAGATGGCAAGTTCCAGAAGCTGTTCTACAACGGAGTGATGTTACTGTATCTCGTAACCCTGACTGGCTTCATGACCTATGACTTTGTCGCCTACTTCGAGGTCTTCTGGGGCCATTTGCAAAATGTCCTCATCCTCGTCTCCTACTTCACCTATCTGTTCCAGGTGATAGTGGTTCCGGTCTTTGTATTGCTCACCCGCTTCATTGACTGGTTTCATCTTTTGGATAAAGACTGCACCTGGGTTGCTCTGCACAGCGATTTCATCTTCCAACGATCTCAGTACCTCCGACATGGCTCGGGTGTAGCATCCTTCCTGAGTCTCGGTCTGTTCCTGACTTGGCCGATCATCAACGGTGTCCTGAGGATTATCTACGATTGGGTGTACCGACCAGGTGGGGATATCCACGCCGTCATCAGCCGCTGGTGCGCCATGGCTTCTTACATCGTCTACGGATCCTTCTGCTATCTTGTCTACGCCCAGCGGAGGTCGTTGCAGAAAGAGTTCCGCGTGGTAGCTCACTTCGTGGCCAGCAACGCTCCCAAAGGAAGTGTCGTGATGGACGTGTGCCGTGACCGGCTGTCCAGGATGTACCAACAGTATCACATTATGCGAGACTTTGTGGGCATCTGGATGGCATTCACCATGGCCGTGGCCACCTGGGGACTGACTGCCCACCTCACCTGGAATTATGTCATCTTCAGCTACTGTCAGACCAAAGACTTGGACGGTCTACCTGTACTCAACCTGCTCATCTGGTCGCAGAAGATCATGTTCTTCGTGCTACCTTCACTGGCAGTAGGTGGGATTAATATCGACTACATGTGGAGGCACTTCCGCTACATCCTGGCCAATCACGGTCGCCATCGTTACAGCACCTTCTGGCACGCCATCATGAAGCATGTCTCTAGAATCAACCTCCTCGGGCAGGGCCTCAGTGCCACTCTTGTCTTCTCCGCCTTGGGGTTGTATCTAGGACTATCGTTGGGCGACAGTGCACAAAATGTTGCCTTTTGGAACGGCCCTGGCGAGTTTAACATCAGCATCTACTGCAATTTTACCTCCCATAAATTACGTTAATGGGTTCAAATATTTCAACAAACACAAGTCGATGCGGCAGGGCAAATAGGCCCTACTAACTATATTAGTTCACTCGATGAGCGCAATTATTGATCAGCGCCAATTCCCCTTCAAAAATCGGAATGATTTTCCGAAAAGCAGGTCCTATAGCAAAAAAATTACTTCTTCCGCTTGATTAACTGCAAACATGCATGTTTCTAGTCTAGAAATTTAAATTATGTGACATAAAGATATAAGTTAGTCTATAGGCCTATTTATGAGACGTTTGCGGAGTAACTTGAACGGAGACGCAAACCTCGAATTAGCGCATTCTAAAAAAAGAGCCTACTCTTCATCTGTAGCAATGGGCAGGATGTACATGTACATACAGTCTTCAATTTATCAGGCTAGCCCTATAGGTATTGGATTTGTAGTTTTACATTTGTATAACTGTTTTACACTTGAGGATACATACAAGGGCGAATCCAGAACAATTTCTTTGGGGGGGGGGGCCAAAACAAATTTGGGTCCCCAAAAAATGTGTCCCAAAAATTACGGCTTGGGGTTCGGGGCCCCGAAATTGTTTGGATTCTAGATGCTCTGTGGTGCGATCTGCTGAGGCAATTTCTGACCACTTTAACCAAATCTTTGAAAGAAGAAGATGGTGGTGTACGCACGCGCAGTGCCTGCCTTTATTGCGACGTTACTTTAGGGGGGGGGGGGGCGGGAATGTCCCGCGTTGACTCCCCCCGGATCCGCCCTTGGATGCATATAGTAATTGTATATATCTTATATTATTGTTTGCTGTATATATAAATCACCCATTGTTGCTTTCTTGATTATTCCTAGATAACAATGAATATAATTATCAAATTAAGTTTTTCTATTTTGATTATTTTCCCTCCCGACGTTCGATAAGCAAACAGTTACATTTTTTCGTTGTTAGTAAAATACAGTCATTTAGATCGAGCCCAAAATGTCTTCTAGCTATTCAGGTTAGTCTGCAAGTATGTAGAATTCACTGTACAACTCGGAATTAAAAGTTGCATAATTTTCAAGTTGAACGTTTTGTTTCAACGAATTATCTACGTTAATCCCATTGTGGGCGTCTGCAATCCTCTGGCAAAGGGGCTTTCATTTTGATGCACAAATGAACCCGCCCAGCGAGAGCCGTATTATTCTCGGACCGCAAGAGATGGACTTTTCCGTTCGAAGTCTCATTCAAAGTGAATACATTTCAAATTGCCACGAAAATAGCAATTAAAAAAGTATATCTATTTTTCGGAATGAAACTCGAAATAGCACGGGGAATGCAAGTTTGACAGATGAGACGCACTTAACCATGTACATGTATATGAAATTCATTCCCACTTAGCTCTAATTTAGGTCTCTACATTCGGTCCAGTCTCTCGTTGTGGCGTTCGAAAAACCTACGTCTGAATTGACTTCCAGATTCGCGAAACTGCACCTTGAGCAATAACCTGAACAGTGGCGTAACTCGGGTCCAATTTGCATGGTTCCAATTTGCTCATTTCTCAAATTTCTTGGGAGGGCACAGACCTCGAGTCTGCGGGGGTGCCCCTTGTCCACGCCCCCATAATTACATCTTAATTGCGATCATGTTCAGAAACACGAAATAGTCATAGGCGATGTGAAAACAGTTATTGAGAAGTGAAGCGACCGTTGGCATCAGCCTATAAAGGCAGACAGCGCCAAGTTTGCTAACGCTTTACTCGAGGATTGCGTACTTCCGAGGTACAACCCCTGTATTCCATGCATCGGACCACAAATCTCCATACGTCTCCCTGCTGGAGCCGTTGGGCTCTTAACCACGTGACGAATTCGCACTCCTTGCCTGCCTCACCAGCTTGCATCCACTTGCCTTCTTTGTCCATGTCAGTGCAGCCGATCCAGACTTTGCCATCATTTGGGAGATTCTTCTTTATCATCTCCCTGATGAACTGATTCTCATCGGGGGAGTCAGGAACCACCAAGCCACCAGCAACCATGGCAAAGCAGACTGTGCTTGTAGGCTATTTTCCACTGTGCTACTAGGCTTTCGATATAATGTTCACCATAGTTTCAGTTATTAAAAAGTGTAATCAATAAATTAGTTTTGGGGATTTTCTTGATGATTAAAGAAATTGTCATTTCTCAATGCAGCCTTCTTTGCAGTTGCAAAGTTGATCAGCAACGATCATCACTTGATGATATCAGATCTAACTGCACGTCACGTTACTACTGCGACCGACTGCAGTCGATGTGCAAAATCTCAACTGTTGTTTTGTTATTCCCATGTCTAAATCTGTTCCAATTAATTGGCTATTGCATGTCAGATACAGAAGCCTATGTATATCGCGCCTAGTGGATGCTTCGTGAATATCTTATAAATGCACCTGTCAATTGCAAGACGGACCCATGACCCCCGCCCCTATTTCATCAGCATCAACTCAACTTACATTTGTACATATAGTTTTTGCATAATTACCCAAAATCAATGATCTGATTAAAGATCAGAGTTTAAAAGTTTTTCTTCGAAGGTTTGACAGCCCACTCACGTTTGCTTTAATCATTCCTTGATCTGTTTACAGTAATATTGTGAATCAACTGTGCTGGTGTATAGGCTTTTCTAAACCATCAAAAGGTGTATTAAGTCCCAATTGATAGTCTTATCCCTAACATTTCTCCATAAACATTTAGAATGAGATTTATATAATACCTTTTAAAGGTGTAAGGCCTGATTTCTGTTCTCCGCCTTGTACGAAGGACCATCAATCAAACACTATAAGTTACACAAGGATCAGTGCTGCCGGTTTTGCAATTAGAAGCATTTTTATGAAACCAACAAGCCCATGGAGACCTGTAATATTTTTTTATGCCATATACATGTACAATAAATCACGTTTTTCATTCATATCCACACACAACGTATCCCAGCTGTATCAATCAAGCCATGCACCTTTTAAGTGTCTTCAGTATTAATATACCATTGAACCAATGATGAAGACTACATGTAGATGAAATCAAGTTGATTCAATACAATTTTATCAATTTATTGAGTTTTGTGGATGATGGGTATTACAGGAACCTGTAAACACCTTAGTGATGGGTGTAAGGGTGCTTGGGGAGATTTAGACATATTTTTAGACGTATCAATATTTTGAAAGTTAAAATTGTTTTGAAAATCTGATTTAAATAAAAAAAAAAATCTGATTTAAATCCGATTTAATAAATCCGATTTTTTTTTTTTTTTTTAAATAAAAAAAAATCGCCAACCCTGATTACAAAACAACTAACAATGACCATATTTATGTCAATGCAATACGAATATACTGTAAAAACTATAAAGATGTGTCTAAATGCAACAAACACATTTTCAATGACTGATTTTACATTTGATCATCGCTAATTTTCTTCTCAAAATCTTTTCTAATGATTCCCTCAAAAAAGAATTTCACAAAAATCGCTTTCCTGGTAAGTGAACTCTTAGATTGAAAATCGGTCACATCCTTTTCATCAACTTATTTCAATCGCAATAGTACTACAATTTCCAAGCTTTCACTGCAAAGCCCAACGTATCACACTCGTATTGCATTTCAGAGAGAAAGTAAGTCAGCTCTTGTCCCAACCCAGGCAATGTATGTAGATGTAAATATTAGATTCACGACCCATGCAAAATTCATACAAATTAGCTAGCCCAGGTTGGACGAGGTCTTCATTGCATTCCGTTGCATGTACACAACGGAGTCCAACCTGGGCTACAAATTAGCTGTATTTGCGGAGATACAATGGATACAATTAGGAGAGCGCTATTTGGTTTGGGTACAAAACAAAAGTGCCTACCCACACCAAATTGTATCCTTCATTTGTGTCCACCACATGACCAATGAGGCTAACTTATTTCCTGGAGAATAGGCATCATGGAACAACCACTGTCATCTGCACATACATGTTTACAGGGTCAGTGTAAAAAAAGGAAATAGCAGGACCAATATCTTAATAAAATTCTACGGTATCTCTTAAATTCTAGGATATAAAAGCCCAATTAATAAGCTTTCTTTTAGTACAAGAATCATTCAAATCACCAATGTACTTTTTGTACAATAAACCTCCCTTCACAATTCCTAGCAATATCTCAAATATCCTTATACAGATATTAAGTGAATATTATTAGTATTTTGTCGGCAATGGCCCTGGCATTTGTATCATATATGGCTGCACATTTTCTCCCCATACTGAACTTTTTTTGGAAGTTAAATAATTGTTTGTATGCTTTCTTCACAAGACGTTGTGCAGGACTGAATATTGCCTATGTGATGTCATCTACAAAATCATTGATTTAAATTGCTTATCATTACAAAAATTTGACTGAAAAACAAAAATCATTGCACGCATTCAAGATATGAACAAAATATAGTTTGTCAACAAAATCAATGGGATGAACTATTGACCATTTCTTCTTTGGCAATGTTACAGCAGGCACTGTGTTTTGTAGTATTTAGCCTCAAGCATGATGCATATACTGAAGAGGAAAATATAATATATAACTGTGAATCATTTAAAATAAAACTCTGGAAATAAGGTCAAACATATTGCGGAAGATAAAAATAGTTACTTAATAAAAATTAAATACATGTATTTAAAATTAAATATAGCTTTGTCATTTAAATAAAGAAATATATATCACATTTGAACACAATTTGGCAATCTGTATTATTTTGAGATCAGGTTAACATGAATGTTTCACCCAAGTGCATGTCACAGGCATTATTCATTTGAAAAGCCATGCAAACCCTATTTGCCAAAGGAGTACTGAGTGCATGGGTACTTCCTCCACATGAGAATTCACAGCTCCACCTCAGTAACGCTTCTATGGTCAGCGGAAAGTACAATTTCACTGTCTAAACCTAATACAATGAGGACCACATAGAGTGATGCACATTTTGTAGGCCATCATTCATAAACTGAAATGACAACAGAAGCATTCTTCCTAACATCAAATTCACTTGTATAAATGGTTGGTTTAAGTCCCCACTCATTGCCACGGTAGACCCCAAGGTAGGAGAAGACATCGGGCTTGTACGCCAGCCGACAGCGAATACCTAGCTGGCGCAGCCTGGACTCCAGTTTCAACACCCCAGATTTGTCCGTGAAGTCCTTGGAGTATACGCAGGTGAGGTGACTTCGACTGTTGTCACCTCCGTCATTGAGCGCAGAGCTGACCTTGGTAGAAGTCCCCAGCTGGCCAGCGACTGTCGCTCGGAATATCCTCTCCCATGTCAGATCAACATGGACGCCAGTTTCCTTCCACACCAGCCACTTGCCGCTCAAGCATCTATGCGGAATTTGCAGAGAAGAAAATCAATGGGAAGTATTTACTGGAGGCCAAGGCATAGTCTTTTGTTTCAACCCTCTATTTGAAACAAGTTCCTGCACCTTGTTAAAAATCGTCACTGCAGTAGGGGGGCCTACTAGTCTTGGGAACTTTGGCACTCAGACCCAATGTATTTGCTTGGAATAAGCCAGTTTGGTATCTCGATGAAGACATAATAATAATTTGGGAGGCTAATCATCCTTATTCGCAGCTGGTATGCTGAATTGCGAAGGATGCGGCTACAACGCTGGCATGTAAAGGCGCCTATGGCTGCTGGCCAAATCGACCTATATATGACCACGGAGCACAGCCTGAGATCAACAGTGTTTGGAAAACCGGAGGGCCCGGAGAAAAACCCTCATGGCACAGGAGAGAACCAACGCACAACTCTACTCACATGTGATCCGCGGCCAGGATTTGAACCGTGGTCACCTTGGTGAGAGGCGAATGCTTTACGCACAAGCCACCCATGCCACCCCAAAGTAGTCCAGGTCAAAGGTCAATCAGGACAAAATCGATGACGTGATGATACGTGATGTTACGAGAACGCCCATTCTGCTCACAATTATCATGTGAGCGTCGTGTGCCCGTCTCCCTTCACATTCGTGCGCCTTCGATGAGTGTTCAATTATCCCTAATGACCCGTTACCTTTATCATTGTGGGCATGCGCAGTTGAAATACTGAACTGGCTTATTGTGGGGTTCATTTGCCAAAGTTCCCAAAACTGGATTTTATTCATCTTGTTGACAGTACCCTCTACATGTGATGGCTTGTCACGATTGCCATGAATTGGCACTGGCTGCATTAGGGAAACAAAATCCAAAGTTTCCAAACCAGGCTTGGATCAAGACTGCAGGAGGCCTAGCTTGGGAACAAAAGAGTTATCAATAGGGCCATTGATCGACTATATACTTGGGATCAGGAGCCCAATACTGATAGGATTTAACCTTGGCCAAGCGGACTCAAGCCAACAATGTACATGTACAAATACAACATGGTTTTGGGGGAAGTTGGGCAAACTTATACTTGTCCATGAGATCTTGCTGATTTTGACTTCCTCCTGACACAAACTGAGGAAGTCATTCCACTGGTAACATTATTGCAATGATTTGACAATGACCCAACTCACCTGTGGGCAACAGCAATTCTTTTGATTTCCTGAAAGGTCACAGTAGGTCGTCCTGACTGCAGTAAGTCCTCCCAAGTTCGGAAGAGGCCAACTTTGTCACTTCCATTCTCTGTAGTACTGTCACCTCTTGGTGCCTTACCACAGATCCAATTGACTGGTGATCCATTCACTCTACAATACACCATTAACACATTTGTGATTCAAAAAACGATTCAAAAAGTCGATCAAATCCTGTCATTCACAAATTCTTCATTTTCAAGTCATATCACAAGCCATTAAATGAAATGTTACAAATGCATTCTAATCTTGACTCGTAGTGATGGACAAGACTACATCTCTTGAACCCAGGTACACATTGTAAAAAAACTAAGGATTTGCGCTGGGTTTCCTGAAAAGATGGCTCAAGAACCTAGCTCTTTGTATCCAAATGATCCATGTACATGTAACATGTATTCTTAAATCTCACCAAGCATCCCCCTCCTGCTTCCGCGGTCAATCCCTATAAATATGTTTTGTGTTCTTAAAAAAGATCAAATTTGTAGACGACGACCTCAAATAAAACCTACATGACCTTTGACCTCCAATTTTTGGAAAACTTGTGATGAACCCCCACCCAAGGAACACTCCATCCAAGTTACGTTAAAATCCATCAAATTCTGTAAACAATGATAGTTCAAGCAGATTTTGAACAGTGACCTCTACATGACGTTTGACCTCAGTAATCCGATGAAGAATTGCATCTTCTAAAGATTTCACTTGTGGGGTACCCTTTCTTCTAAAGATTTTACTTGTGGGGTACCATTTCCTTTGTTCGATTACCCCAGAAGTACATGTAACTCTAGTGTGTTAGGACGTACGGACAAATGGACATACAGAATTTAGGAATGGTGGCAGTCCTGAAATATTCGTTTGGGCGACACAAAAGAGGAATATGCTACTTACTCTCTGACTCTGGATGGTGGATACCTTGCCAGGAACTCCTCCACTTGATATTTTAGGTTGGCCTCCTGCTTCAAGTTGGGATCAAAGATAAGCCATCCACCTTCGTCTGCAGCTAAGGCCTCAGCTGCTAGCTCCTTGGCAGTTTTGTGATGCCTGGCAGATCCTGTCTGTTGGTGTGTAAACCTGAGCTGCTCAGAAGCGCTTGGTAAGGGCTGACTTCCTAGATGTGGCCTGGTTCAATGAAAAACTACGCAATTATTATCTGAACTCCCTAGCGTCTTTTACTCTTTTGCGGGATTTTGCAGCTGTATGCCAAATCACAACGGACTGAAAACACACTGACAGAAAAACTGCTTTACTTGAGACAGCAAGGGAAACAAAATAAGTAAAACCACTTGATCTTTGGTACCACACAATTCTAAAAACTAAACCTTGTTTCAAACACGTTGTATATATGCTCCGACTTGTGCATAAAGTTTTTTTCTGACTTGTACAGGAAGTTTTCCCTCCATCTCCATGACTATTGCAGACAACTTACTTATTCACACAAGGAGGTTCCGGTAACTGCTTGGCAGGCCACTTGTCCAGTATGCTCACTTGCTCATGCCGATTTCCCTTAGGAGTTGTAAAGGGTTCTGAGTCAGTATAACCATGGTCCAGCGACTGCTCTACAGTCAAGGGCTGGCAGGGACCCGGTGTTTCCTCATCCGCTGCTTGGGTTTGACCAGTGTTTGTTGGGGGATGTAGTTTGACCAGCTCAAGGTCCAGGTCAACAAATATTGATTCCAGTGCAGGCATTTCTTCATCATCATCAGACTCCTCCATGATTCACTGTATAAACTGAGGGGCAAGTTTGTTATTACTTTATATCACATGTTGATGAACTTAGTCTCCTTTATAAAATTCTGTATATTGTATAAGGTGAAAAAAACCTTTAACTTGTATGACCCAGGGTATTCTCAGGATCTTTAATATGACCATAGATGTTGCTCATCAAGTATGTTTTCAGCTTTTGTGAGATTTTGGATGGTCATAACCTAGTCCGAAAATTTAGGACTCTCAATACTGTGTATGAGAGTCCCCAAACTTAAGGTATCCATATCGTGCAAATGTTTGTGCTGCATAATAAAACCAGTGTGAATCAAATTTGTAAGTTTCTTACTCACTACAGTTTCTTCAATAATCCCATGCCTCATTGATCCAAACACTTAATCACAATCAACAGTAGACAAATGTCACCGGGCTACTAATCACTCTTGAAGATACTTACCTTGTTAATAACCAGGAAAAAAATAAGTCTGTTCTACTCAAGGGCGGATCCAGAACACAATTTTTTGGGGGGCCCAAAAAATTTTTGGTCCCTCCCAAAATGGGTCCAAAAAAATTTTGGATTCTAGATGCTCTGTGGTGCGATCTGAGGCAATTTTTGACCACTTTAACCAATGCTTTTTTGGAGGAAAAGATGGTGGTGTACTCATTGCCTGCCTTTATTGCGATGTCACATAAAAAAACAAAAAAATTGGTTTCGTTTTGGGGGGGGCCATGGCCCCCTTTGGCCCCCCCCCCCTGGATCCGCCCTTGGTTCTACTAATGTCTAGTTAGCCTGTAATTTGATGAAATATGAAGAGAGTCCGTCCAAAAATGACTGCAGCATTTTTCTTGAGGTCATGTGTGTTGTATGTACCTGTAACCTTTTGATTTCCCTGGTTACAGTAGTGAAAGAAAAAAAAAAAAACAGTCCTGATTTCGATTTAATCAAAACAAATTGAAATTGTCCTCATATGTTGCTATAACCACTGTTTGGCTTACAATGTTGACTCTTTGCATATTAAGTTCTCCCTCAATGGTATGAAAGGGAGAGTAGAGGGAGAGGAGACCACTGGGAGAGACCTTTAGAGCACATTGGCCATTGCCGCCGATGCCCGATTTCTTGCAAACTTGCAAATTGTGAAGATGCTATTGCTATAGTCCCACTATTAAACTGGGTCGCTAGAACTCCTTTTTTGACATTTGGGATGTACTTGGTCTGTCGTACATCCCAAATATCAAAAAAGGAGTTCTGGCGACCCAGTTAGTGGGACTATTATTGCTATAGCTTGTGGGAAGTTGTGCACATTCAGAATTGAATTAGTTGTGCGTACTTTTTGCCATACACACGCACGCGGTGGTCTCTCTCTCTCTCTTCCCCCCCCCCCCCCCCCGCCCCCCACTCTAATGGCACTGAGACTGCTCCTCCGCAGTGTGGTGTAGGAAGTGTAGTTTTTGCTTAGTATTTGTTTGAGTAGAACAAAGAGGAATATAGATCAGTAGATGACTATTTTTGACTTCCCTGAACCGCAAGGCTTTATGAAACTTAATCAATTGATAAGAAAAAAGAGCGCCCTATATATATCGCAGTGGCTATTGTTACGGCAGCCGTAACGCATTTCCCATTTTCTATCGTTACGGTAGACTGCAACCTGGCAACTTTTATAAAAAAACATGACAAGAAAATATAAAATTAGAAGGAAAAAAGTGAATTTGAACTTTATGAAATTCGGACTTTATTTCCCTTTTAAAAAAAATCCTCCAAAGCCTCAGGTTAGAAAAGGAAAAAAATTCGAGTGCAAAACTGAGATTCGAACACGCAACCTCGCGGTGCAAAATCCTACTCTCTATCGGCTGAGCTGGCGCACTGCTCGATAAAACGTGGAGAAACAAATAATTATATACCCGCGTGCGTATCAAAAAAATATCGTAGAGGGCGCTAAACAACGAGTGCCGTAACGATAGCCACTTCGTATATATATAGCGTCAGGTTCATCCCCCCATTTGCACGAAGCACTTGCGGTGGCCACTGGAAATTTTGGAAATGTTGTTGAGCCGGGTCCACACTTTGGCTATTTTTGTACCCTGACGCAGCTGGGACATACCCCACTTTAAAAAAATCTTGGCTAAGGCTCTCTGGATATGTTTTCTCCACAGTTTAGCCCCATAAATGTGGCCTATTTACTGGACTGCCTCCGTACATAGGCCACACATCCACATGTACAAAAATCGTGTCGACGGAGCCAAATTTTGATTTTCACATTTAGGCTTAGTTTGTAGGTTTTTTTTGCTTTAGAAGCATACTCACCCTCTTTATAGGCTAATCAGAAAGTGCTGCCTTTTTCAGATGTATATTTTTCGTGAAATTTCCAGATACATTTTTACACGTTTGCGTATCAAAATTTCAACATGAAATTTCACAAAAATTAGACATCTGAAAAAGGCAACACTTTCTGATTAGCCTGTAAAGAGGGTGAGTATGCTTCTAAAGCAAAAAAACCCTACAAACTAAGCCTAAATGTGAAAATCAAAATTTGGCTCCGTCGACACGATTTTTGTACATGTGGATGTGTGGCCTATGTTTGGAGGCAGTCCAGTTAATAGGCCACATTTATGGGGCTATCCACAGTTATGACAGTACTCCTTACCTTTTAGTTCTAGAAAGAAGTAGCTGGCCTACACTTCTCCGATACTTTCCCAGGCCATGCCAGGGTGACCAAAGGTCATGGCCAAATTCTGCTAAATGCACTCTACAAATCTGTCAGATCTATCAAAAACCTGCCAGATTCCCCAGAATTACTCGATCTATACAATAAATACTTAAAATCACATGCAGATGTTGTAGTATTGCCTTAATTAAGGTTCAAAATACATCATAAACAATCTATGGTCACATAAAGATGTTATGAATTTGCATAAATTTCAGGCAAATCGCGGTTGCGTTACGGACGAAGTCCGGTTCCAAGTGAACCTCAAGCACCTAGACCAGTCAACTTGTCCCATTTTTGTTTGAAAAAGATTAAAGCTTTTTTTAACGAATGTACAATCTCTTTCAAATTCGTTATTTTTTTCTTTCAAATAACCATTGTTGCAGAATTCTGCCAGACATCTGCCATAAAAAGTCCATTCTGTCAAATTTTCCGTCAAACTCGTTTTTCAACAAAAATCAAAGTTAGCCTGAAATCGGCTAAAACGGTCACCATGGTCTATGCTACGCGTTCGTTGCATATATATATGCGAGCGCCCTCAAAAGCATGGCAGCAGGTCGGTCAAGTTCAATCGCGTACTTCGCTCGTAGTCGTACGGTTCGCCCTGCGCAGGGCTAGGGCGGGGGGTACGAGCGAACGTACCTACGTACAGGCATAACATGCAGGTCAGTCAAAGCAGACTTACTTTACCTCAGGATGACGACAAAATATAGGCAAGATGACGACATCCTGAAAGTAGGATGAGGACATCCTGAGATATTACGGGGTGCATTGAATCCATCTTGGACACGCACAGACATCATGACCTCTCATCATCAAATATATACCATGTATATAAAGCGATAGGGTAAATTGTATAAAAGCCGCACGTCCACCTGTGCATTTTGAAGATGCCTTCAATGCACCCTGTGATAAATTATGTCATGATGTCGTCACCCTGCTTCCAGGATGGTGTTATCCCATAACAAACTATCTAAGGATGTTGTCATCCTACTTCCAGAATGTCGTCATCCCATAATAAATTATCTCACGATGTCGTCATCTTACTTTCAGGATGTCGTCGTCATGCCATAATAAATTATCTCGGGATATCGTCATCCTATTTTCAGGATGTCGTCATCCCCTAATAAACTATCTCAGGATGTCGTCTTCCTCATTTTGGGATGTCGTCATCATCTCAGGATGTCGTCATCCTACTTTTAGGATGTTGTCATGCCATAATAAATTATAACAGGATATCGTCATCATATTTTTAGAATATCGCCATCCCCTAATAAATCATCTCAGGATGTCGTCATCTTGCCTGTATTATGTCGTCATCTTGAGATAAAAGTCAGTATCTGAACAAGTCGGATGGCACTTCCAGAGCTCCGTACAGAGCTCCGTGCAAACCGTGACGATTTCAGAGATTGAAATAATAATGCCGTGAGGTCGTTCGTGGTTTTACGGGAAAACTGCACGCGGCTGTAGCTGTGCAGCTTGGTGACTGCTCCATGATGTTCCGACACCCCGGTGTTCCGATGACTGATTGTGTTAACCCGGCCGGTTAGGGTGAGGGCTAGGGTGAGGGTTAGGGCATAGAGTCAAGCATTAAAGCTACAGTCCATCATTTGTAGTTTGTGCATTTTGTTCGTTTGAAGCAACAAGAGAGTTCAAAATCTAATGAAGGATACTGAGCAACTAACCTGATGAAGTTTCAGCTAAGCTTCAGCTGTACATTCCGAGAAAAACAGCATTCTAAGATCTCAATTTCAAATCAAAAGTTACTAAATCATGTTTTGAATTGTTTTGAATTGCAGCTATACGCGACGTCGTGCACTGATCCGACGAATTATAACAACCGCGCGCGCGTGTGCGTCGTTCCAATACTTGTGCGCGCTGCGCTGAATAACAAAACGAACTACTAATTTAAATTTTCCTACGGTGCTTCTTAAGAATCACCGTTGGAAATGCCTTCTTTCGTTGATTACTTCAAAATGACAACTTTCCAGAAAGAATAATTTCACAGGGAGTTTAGTTCCCTTACTATCTTTCAACCAAGGTTGTTTTTCAGCAATAATTACGCCAGTTACTTTTTGGATGGCTGCAAATGGTGGACTCTAGCTTTAACATAGGTGTGTCGGAACATAGGTGTGTAAACCGTGCAGATCGAGCATGGAGGAAGGAGGTATTCATAGTGCACGTCATGATCATGGTTAAATATTACGCCAATTCCGGACATACTTTCCATGTGGATTGCCCTTGTGACGCAATCTGATCCACCTGTAGAAACCCTTAATATGCAAAAGTATTAACAATAGTTGCGCTAACTTGGTGTAAATAGACCCGAGACGTAATGACGTAATGGCTTTGTTTACATATGCGCTTTCCTATGGGAGCGAAGTCGGGACGCCAGATAAAGTGGGGTCCGTCTACTACATAGGAAAGCGCACATGTAAACAACGTGTGACGTCATTACGTCTTAAGCCTATTGCAGATGCTCCCGGTTGAATATTGTCTTTTGTTACTTAATTGTGTTGCAGTCCATAGGATCACGTTCGATGATTCTCTACAGTACAGTGTCTTTTTTCTTTCATTTCTTTTTAGCCCCTTTTAGCCTCAATTTTCCAGTATAGAGGGTGAGTAAAAAAACAAAACGAAACCAAATGCTCGGGCGGCTCCGGTTTGCAGACTGGGCCAGCATCATCGGCTGCTGGTGCTGCATTAAACCACAGCACTGTCGTCGGCTTTTCATCTTCATCAGCAGTGGGTGCCTTAGGCCTATAATTGCCTGGGTTTGTACGCAAGCCTGAGTCACCAAGCTCCGCTGGCCTTAGACATGATGGACTCGCCACGTTTGGAGTCCAACGGGTCGCGGACTGTTCCCCTTGGTAATTAAAATACCGGGAACCGCAGCCCGTAGTCTCCAAGCTCCGCCGACCATGGACTCGCCGGTCGCGTTTGGGGCCTACACCTCAGACCGTACCTGGAATGATACGCGAAAGCTCCATTCGGCGCTTCACTAAACTGCTGGTACACTACAGACAGTTCTTTTCTCCTCATAACGGGCCCGTTTCCGTATCTACTGTTTCCGCACCGTGAGGTTATCCATTGGCCGCATGATCCGCCGGTCATACAACAGCCGACGGCTTCAGTTGTTCCCGCCACCGGGTAGTGACTTACATTGGAGCAAATTCGCTGATTAATTATGCAAGACAACCGCATCTTGACCTCTATATTTTGACCAATCAGCGGGCGCTTCTTCAGTCATAGACTACTTCATAGTCTGAGTATCACCCGTTACGAGCCAAGTCTCCTGTATAACGTCTGATATGTCAATGCATACATAATTATTTATGCGATTCACGCCTCAGCCAATCGACTTTACTAAATCGGGACGTCATTTCATTCCCAAATCAGGACTAAATGTGTGATTGGTCAATTCGAGTGCCGTGTTTTGTAATACAACAGCCGGGCACGGCTAAGATATAATTTCTATTCACGTCTATGATGCAAAAACGGAGGTCAAGATGCGGTTGTCTTGCATAATCAGCGAATCTACTCAAATGTTATAGACCATAGTTTTAGACTACTCATAGACATGAATAAAAAACATAGACACAACAACAAAGGCTGTGTCATGCGCTCTGTATTATGTTACGCGATACGCACCCGGCTGTTGTATAAAACACTGCATTCGAACTTGACCAATCAAACGTTTAGTCCTGATTTGGGAATGAAATTACGTCACGATTTAGTAAAGTCGATTGGCTGAGGCGTGAATCGCATAAATAATGTATGCGTTGACATATCAGACATTAGACAGGAGTGGGCCCCGCGTGGATACCGGGTGATACTCAAAGACTATTGTCATGATTGTGTAAATAAAATATTGGCCCCCGCCCTGCAAACAGGATGCTGGTAAGGGCTGACGTCATTTGAGCTCTCATTGGATAGATTTGTAAAAAAGTAAAACGGCTGCAAACTGCTTACTGACTGGATGGACCTGAAATATATAAATCTTAAAATTAATGTGGCCTGACGTTGCGAACTTAGCAAGTTCTTCTTCAGAGGCTAAAACAGAAATGACAGAGGTACATACATTAACATGGTGGTGCACACAAACATGCAGGGCTGAAAGAAGAAACACAAAAGGAGGATTAAGTGGGAAAGGTGTAGAAAGATGCAGGGGAGGGTGGATGAGAGAACAAAGAAACATAGGGAGATGGCAAACCACAAGGGGTCTGGTGTGAACAGGGGAGGGACCAGAAAGGGGAAGGATCAAAGGTCACAGGGAGTGGGAACGGACAAAAGAGTGTGAGAGTGAAGGGATGATGCGGGGGGGGGGGGGACAGTATGGAGGTGGAAAGGGATGAAAGATGGGGGAAGATGGGTAAACACAAACAAGGAAGACCAGATGGATTATCTGTAACAGAAGACAATGGAGGAAAAAAAGGATTAATCATTTCCAAGTTGGATGTTGAGACCATGTGGTTGAATAGTTCGAAGACGATTCATCCACACTTTCTCTCTGCTGAGGCGAACTGAGTCCTTGCGATGGCCAAGAGATTCAATGCCCTGCAAAATCATATCAGAAATGGAGTGGTTAGGCAGGTTGAAGTGATGACCAACAGGGGTGTCTAGTTGCTTGGTGTTGACCGTTGACCGGTGGGCATAGAAACGCTTCTTGAGCGTATTCTTAGTCTCACCTACATACTGCACTCCACAGACCCTGCAAGAAATGAGATATATGACATTAGAGGTGTTACAAGTGATGTTACCAATGGTTCTGTGGGTAGTGACAGAAGAGTGGCCAGAAAAGGAGTCAGACTCCTGGATATGAATCTGGCAGACAACACATCTGGAACTGCACTTGAAAGTACCATGCTGGGTGGGAGGGGATGCATCTAAGGATGGGACTTCAGCTCGAACAATCAAGTCCCGTAGATTTCGAGGACGCCTGTAAGCCAATGTGGGGCCGTTGGGGATGGCGCGGGCAAGGCGATCTGAAGTATGGAGGATATGATGATTGTCATTAGTGATTTTGCGAAGGGGA